ACAATGCAAGGTATGTGGCCACTATTAATTCATATAGTATAAGGCCTCGCTAGGCATCAAGTACTTGAGCCAATGCTTATGCTTAAACAGGAGGCAAAAGCCACCTTCTCCCTCTCCAGTGTTCCCAGCTTTCGTTTCCAAACTACTGGCCCCTGTTCACTTGCACTCTCTCAAAACATTTCCTTCTTGTCCCTGACCAAAGCCTCGGTGCAGTGCTCTCTCCATGGTCCTGACTCCTGGGGCAACATTCAGGCCTCCAGGCTTCACCTTTTACTTTCTTTCCTTACTGCACCTTTGTCTCTTGACCTTGGGATACAGTTCACCACTACACTATCAAGGGAGTATGTATTCACCCTACTGTAATCCAGCAGCTAGGGCCATCTTCCCTTACACTGCTGGTACTCACTCACTAAGTCGAGGGGTAGTCAAGTCTACCAGTGACAAAGCTGCAAAATAAAATGGGTGGGGGACTGTGGTTTCTACTTAGGATGCAGAAATTTACAACACTGCTCCAAAGAAAGTAACTCTCGAGAAATGTGAAGGCCTGTGGTGTCTGATGGAAATTAGCAAAAACAAAAAGCCCAAAGTGAACTCAGCTCCCTGCTAGAATACTCAACACTTCCCCTGCACTGCCAAAATCCTAGCAAAAGACACAAATACTACTTACCTCAATTTTTACTGTCCTAAAGAAGATACTTAGCATTCAAAGAAAATGCCAAGACACTCACAAAAGCAAGTAAACAACTCAACATGAAAAACCAGAGCAAATAATATAACTAGAGTAAGATTGACCAGACACTGGAACTACTAAGAAATTTACTATAACCATAATATAAATACTGTAGGATGACATAAGAACAGATGAGGAAGTTTCTCTGGTTTAACAAACGGAAAATGGAAATAAGGACCAAAATGTATAGTAGATATTGGGAAATGTATGAAAATGTTCAAATGAGAAGGGAAAGAAAGGAGAGGGAGGAAAGGAAAGGGACAAACAAAAATAGACTAGAAGGAAAAATGGAAATAAAGCTTTTGTAAATAAGGAGGGGAAGACGGGTTGAAGGGAGGGGAGCAGGATGGAAAAAAAGAAGTAGCAAGATATATCATGTACAGGTACAAATTCCCTATGATAAATGTGATCATTATGTACTGCTGAAATATATCAATAAAGGTTTGTTTCCAAAATTAAATAAATAAATTAAATGGTCTCTGCAGGATGGTTTCTGGATACACATCTCTCCCCCAAGACACTAAAATCTACAGGTACTCAAGTCCATTATATATAGTGGCAATGTATTTGCATATAGCCTATGTACATCTTCCTATATACATAAATCATGCCTACATTACTTATGATACCTAGTAAAATAAAAGCACTATGTAGTTGCTATACTGCATTGTTGAGGGAATAATGACAAAAAAAAAGTCTACATTCAGTGCACAAGTAGGTTTTTTGTTTTTTGTGGGGTTTTTTTTTTTTTTTTTTTTTTTTTTTGGTACTGAAGATTGAACTCTGGAACTTGTACTTGTGAGGCAAGTGGCAGAACCACTGAGCTAAATCCCTGGTCCAGGAGTTTTTAAAAGATTTTTTTTCAATCAAGGTTTGGACAAAAACTCTTGGATATTGAGGGCTGGGTACATAAGGAAATAGAAACACTATAAATGAAAAACATGGTAACAGAGATGAAAAAAATTTACAATGATCTTGGCAACAAAATCCACACTTCCAAGAGACAGTGAAATTGAAAATGGATCAACAGAAAATGCCCAAATTGAGCACAAAGAAAAAAACTTGAGGAAAAAAAAAGGCCAAATCTAGGGAAAAAATTATTTTAATTAATTAATTTTTTGGAAACTGTCTTGCTGTGTTGCCTAGGATAGTTTCTCTCACTCAGGGGCTTAAAAGTGACCTTTCTACTTGAGCCTTCCAAGTAGCTGGGAGTATGGTTGTGTGCCATTATGCCCCGTAAGAAAATTTCAAATAGTCCAATAAATACAATTGGAATTCCAAAAGAAGTAGAAAAAGAACATCAGTTAAAGAAAATACTTGAAAAGAAAATGTCTGGGAACTTTCCAAAGTTAACAGCAGATATCAAAAAGAGATCCAAAAAGTTCAAAGAACACCAAACAGAATAAACACCAGAGAAGACCTCTAGACATAATGAATAAAATTGTTGAAAACCAAAATGAAAATAAAATCTGACAGCCACTAAGGGGGGGAAATGGACACATAAATGCAGAGAGTTAAAGATACAAATAACAGCAGACTTCTTTTCAGAAATTATTCAGGTATTTAGCTCAGTGGTGCCGCTGCCTGCCTCACAAACACAAGGTCCTGAGTTCGATCACCAGTACCAAAAAAAAAGAAAGAAAGAAATTATGAAAATGAGAAAGCAAAGAACATGAGAAAACATTTTTAAATATATGTAAAGTACTATGGAGAAAAACACGACCTATAAAACAAAATGCTATACCCACTGAGAATAGTTTTATAAAAAATAGTTTTTCTCAGGCAAACAAAAGCTAAGAGAATCCAATGCCAATAGCCTCGCATTGTAAGGTACAGCATATCACAAGAACTACTGTATGTAATAGAAGGACTAATACATCAGACAACAAGCTGAATCTCCAAAAATAAATAAAGTATATCGGATATGGCATGAATGAATTTGAAATGCAGTTTTAAACATTTAATTGCCGTAAAACAATAGATTGATTATAGCGAAGAGTAGCAATATACGCTGTTTATAGCATATAGTAAAAATAAAATGTCTCACAACACAGGGAGAAAATATTGGCAATAGACTTTAAGGTCCTTTTACCACATGTAAAGTAGAATATTATTTATAGTAAGAGTCTGATTAAAGATGTGTGCTGTAGGCAGGTATTAAACTCAGTGATGCCGCTGCCTGCCTTACAAACACAAGGTCCTAAATTCAATCCTCGGTACCCCAAAAAAAAAAAAAAAGTGTACTGTAAACCCTAGAGGAATAATCAATAATTAATATATTAAAAACCAATAATGGAAATAAGATATAATCATAAAAATACTTAATTCAAAAAACAGTAAACCAAAAACTTACATAAAAACTAGCAAGATGGTATATATTAATATAACCATATCAAAAATCATATTAAAGGAAATAGTAATATACACCCAGAAAAAGACAGATTATCAAACTGGATATGAAAGCAAAGCCAAACTATACAGTATTTATTAGAAACTTACTTTATGAAAGTAACAGATAAGACAAAACTATCTTAAAATCTTTATGCACTCAACAATAGAGCTTCAAAATTCATGAGGTAAAAACTTGCAGAAATGAAAGGAGAAAAGTCTACAAGAAAAGTTGGAGACTGCAAAATTCCTATTAAACAACCAAAAGAACAAGTGGATGGAATATTACCCTGATACAGAAGACCTAAATACCACCATGCATCATCTAGACAAGTTACTGAGCTCTGCCCAACAACAGCAGAACACGTGTTCTCGGATGCACAAGAATTTACCAAGAGAGACCATATATTGGGTGAGAAAACAAGCCTTGTCAAACTTTAAATGGCCAAAGTCATAAAATTTATGTTTTCAGACCAAAGCTCACACAAACTTTAACTCAAAATGTGTCAGAAAGTTAAATTTAAAATCTAAATTATACAACTTCTAGAAGAAAACATGAGAAAATCTTTTTGACTTTAGGCAAAGATTTCTCAGTGTGACACCCAAATCAGGTATGACTCATAAAAGAAAACCTGACCAGACTTCATCAAGCTCAAAATTTTATCAAAAGTACTTTAAGAGAATTAAAAGGCAAGCAGACTTGGATGTAATAACTGTAGATCATATATTCCACAAATGACTAATATACAGATTAAATAAAGCTCTTTCAGATTCAAAAACAAGAACACAAAGGCTTTATTTCTTTAAAAGAGCAAAAGATCTGAATAGACAACCATCTGTAATACTGTGATATAAGAAATACTTATTTGCTCTTCATTCCGCCTTGGTTCCTGACAGAATTTCCAAAACCCTCATAATTTTCTGGGAAATAAGAGCCAACTTTTATTGTAACACTTAGTCTCAGATCCCAGTTCCTGATACAAGAGTTTCCCAGACCCTTGGCATCTTCAGAGTGATGCATATCCTTCTGTCTGCTAATGAATGACTGCATGTAAATTGTCCTTTAACTTTTTTAAGTTAAATAAAGTCAGTATTTTTAAGACACTTCAACCTGCCTCACATAGGGATAAATGGTGCTTTCTTAAACCTTTCCATCTAGAGCACACTGGCAAACTTTCCTCCATACCAAAAATATATGGTATAGCATTGATACAGTACTGACTGATATAGCATTGACTTCTATGAAAATAAACACGATTATAGTATGGCAAAGTCCAAAATGAATCTTCACTGTCTGACTCTTCTAAACATTCCAAGAACCTATATTCTTCCTACAGAATTGGGGTTAAACCTTGTGCCTTTTCAAAGTTTCTACATTTTATTTTAAAAATGCAAAACTGGGAAATTGGGAATTTAACAGATTGTTAGGAAAAACGTGACAAAATTGTTTAAATTCATATTCCATCTTAAGCTTTTTGTCTAACCTACAATAAGATTCTTTTTCACACAAGAAAACTGAGAAGAGAATAACATTGGTAAGAAAGAAAAGATAACTATGTTCATATATCAAAATCAAACCAAATACTATAAAATCACTGGAACATATGGAATAAAATAGACTTTATCTTCAATTTTAAAATGTCTAGGATTAATATGCGTAAAGTTTCCTCTTAGTATCCAATGATATTTTAAAAATAAGTTTCCAGTTACTCAAAGAACTTAATGATACAGTATAAATGAACATAAAGCTCCTGTAGTCTTTGACAAAGAATCATAATTCACTCAACAAGTACACTACTTGAGCACGGCTTAAGATCAATCTGAACAAAATAATACCAGCAAAATATTACTTTAAGAGGTACTGCACTCTTCTTTTGTTTACCTCAAAGCCAAGTCTATCCTTTTCTTTCCAAAAACAAAAATGTGTTACTTTCTTATCCCAGAACTCATCTGGCTTTACTACACAAACAAGGGACACTTCAGCTGGAACAACATTCTGAAAAACAAAAACAAAAACAAAATACAAATTACACATGTAAAGGGAATAATTTACTAAATTAAAATTACTAGATATTAATCTTTATGCTAAGTAAGACAATGGAAAACAATAATAAAGTAGAAGAAATTCTCCAAACTTCAAAACATAAATAGCAATAAAGACATGTAAGAAAAGCTATCAGAAAAGATCTCAAACTATGTTAAACAGATATTATATATGAATTATTTTTGTCTTATTCAATGTATGTACTAGGAGCATATTTAGATTAAATTTAAAGACTTCATTTTAGCTGACAATTAAATATTTTTGTGATACAAAAACCTTTTCTAAAACTATCATCTGAAGAACTTCAGAAGATGTAGAATCAATTTTCTCATAAAATGTCTATTATCAGCCATTATGCATAAGATTCTGTGCTTATTAATTTGAAGACAATAAAGAGCTAGTCTTTGAGAGAATACAATTTCACATATACTAGATATGGCTATTCATATTACCTAAAAAATAATGAAAATTAACATTTATCAACTTAGTAGTACAGTGCTGCCTTGGTTCACAAGCTTAATGTGTTCGACAATTCTGGAAAACATGGCCACAGTCATGCTCATCACCTGATGCAGAGTTCACAAACAAACAAACAAAAAATTTGCCAAACGCTTCATAAACCAAGGTATCATTGCATTTCCCATGTATTTTATCAGGAAGTCCCATTGAGCCTAACTCTGAAATACATCCTAAATCTAACCTTTTCTACCACCTGCACTGCTAACATCCCCAAACTAGCCAGGTTCCTCAAATACCCTCCCCTCACAGGTCTGCCTGCCTAATATTCTCTCATCTAGGAATAAAATTCAAGCCCTTTACCTAGGCCCCGGAGGTCCATAAGGTTGGTCCTACTGGCCTCTCAGACTTTTCCTTACACCTCTCCCTCTTAGTGGACCTCCACTACTGCCACTTGGATGCTGACCTTCCTTGTTCCTGGAACTTAAGTCTGTTCTCACCTCAAGACTATGTCAAGTGCTACTTCCTCTGCATGGGATTTTTTCTAAGAGTAGTCCCCCAGTTCCTTAAGATTCTATTCAAAATTCTCTTCTCATAGAGGCCTTCCCTGTCCACTCCATCTAAAGAGAGTCTCCTAAGTCTCCTTTTATTGCTGTAGTTCTTCCTGGCACTTATCACTAATTGATGTTACATTATTTTTTATTTTGCTCAATCACTCACTGTCTGACTCCTCAAACAGCATATAAGCTTGCCACTTGCAGGTCCTTACCTATTAGGTCATCACTGTGTTTCCACTGTCTGCTATGCAAAGACACTCTACAAATATTTGTTGAAAAAGTGAAGTCTCATTAACAAGTGCATCTCATTCTTAAAATTTACAGCAGAGTAATTTTAAGCTTCATAGAACTAAAGTATCTTGTCTAAGTTAAAAAGTTACAGAGCTAGAATAGAATCTAGGTCTGATTCTGAAATTCTACTACACCATTCATAGGTTCTAGATTGGGGTCAGTAAATTATTTCAGAAAGGTCCAGACAAAAAGTATTTTAGGCTTTGCAGACATACAGTCTCTGTCAAAACTATCCAGATCTTTTGAGGTAAAGTGAAGGCAGCTATGAACACTAAGTAAATCACGGGTGTGACTGAGTTCCAATAAAGGTTTATTTATACTCAAGGGACCAACCTCTACTTTGAATTGTAAAGGGCAGCACTAAATAATAATTACAATAATAATCATTGAGAAAATATACTTTCTCTTTCAATGTGAACATGTCATTGGGCTCAAAAATCCAGCATTCCCCACAATGATTAGGGTGTGACTAACACAAAATAAGCAAAATAAATTCAATAATGTTGAACTTTTCATCGGAGAGCCTGTAAAATTTAGAGTAGATTTAAGGTTTATTCATATACTAACCATTGGAGGTTTATTATTTCAAAACATCTGAAAACGAATCTGTGAGAAACAAGAGAAATTGTTTCTTAAAGTTATAGGCAGAGCCAGCATGAAGTTCTGGGCTCCCAAACAATCTGGCACCAGTATCTCTGAAGATAAAAGGAACAAGTGACTCATAAGTAGAAACAGTATGACTAGGAGAAAACAACAGGCCATTGCAACTTCTGAAAAAGTTAATTATTGATAAATCCAAAAGTTGTTAAAATACGTATCAGAAAAGAAATCACAAGAAGGAATTAAATCCATTGATTGTTCTTCAAAACTGCCACAGTCCAGTTCAAACTGCAAGTTCCAAACAGCTCATCTGTGACACAGTTGAAAGACAGGATGAAAGGAAGAATACAAGACCATCGTTAATGGATTTCTCACCTAAGAGTATTTCAACAACTTTTACAGTTCATCTTTAGGATTTGGGATATAGAAGAGTCAGAAACATATCTGGCAGAAAAATATTATGGGATATCAATCTGTGCTCCCTTAAAAACTGATTCTATGGAATAAGCCTTTCTAACCCAACAGAGTGCTCCTAATGACAAAAAGTTTAGGTCAAACACTTATGGAGAATGAGGCAATGGTTGAGAATCTGGAGACCACCAGAGATACATGCTGTGATAAACACACTTGGCAACAGGTAAAAGGACTGCTTCTTAGGCTTAAATAACTTTAAACTTATTTAAAATCCTTGCACTTCAGCTGATCTTTAGAAATAACATATCCTGCTCTATAAAGTAGGCTAAAATTTGAGGAAAGATAATTGATACAACAAGTTTAGCAGGGCACCTGAGGTATATGAAGACTGGACTTAAAACTAAAAACTGTAATCCTTTGTTTCCACCCCTGAAATTCCTTTCCCGATTATCTTAAGCAAGTGGTAAAACATTAAGAATCACTGTCCTGAGTTATCACTTAAATTTTTTAATTATATTCCTTTCCACAGAAACCTAAAGCAGCTAGCAACTGTTTCTCATTACTTTTTACGTCCTCTTCTCCTCCCTCCGCCCCCCGGTTTAGTCTTTCAATATCACTGACACCTGAGTGTTCACTAGCCCATGTCCCCACCAAATTATATTCTCCCCAAACTGGCCTATTATCAGCTCCCTTTACTGATTCTGAGGTCCACTAAGCCACAGTTCCTGCCCAGAATGGCTTTTTCTTTTTGTTCATTTAAATACTGAATAACCTCCCTCCCTCCCTCCTTCCTTCCCTCCTTCCTTCCTTCCTTCCTTCCTTCCTTCCTTCCTTCCTTCCTTTCATTTGGCACAGGGGATCAAACTCGGGTCCTTGCGCTTGTGAAGCAGGCGGCAGAACCACTGAGCTAAATCCCCGGGCTAACCTCTTTTTATATAACTCAAATTTTATCTTCTCTAGGAGCTCTTCTAAGGAAAGCATGATGCATGATAGCAATCCACCCCCCTTTCAATCGCTCAAATGTTTTATTTCTCTATGTCACATCACAATACTTTCAATTTTCTGATAATAAAGCAATAATATTTATTGGGCATGTACTACATGCCAGGGATCACTGAACTATTCTGTGAGGAACACAAGGGTCAGTTTTCAAGAATTTTATAATTGTAGATTTGTATTAAATGCTAATTTGTGACCTGCTAAATTCCTGAGGAGATAGCTACTCAGTATGTTTCTTCTAGGCTATACATAAATAGTACAGTCACATGAATTGTGAGGCATTTAAGATAAAAAGAGGGGACTAGAATGGACATATCAGAATCACCTGGGAAGCCTTCTCTAGACTTACCTAGGCCTGCTTCCTGCCTACTGTACAGAACGGAACACCAGGCAGTGTGATGCAGACACAACAGCATGCAGAGCCACCAGCAAATCTGCACACTTCAAAAACCACTGGTCTCCTTGCTTCGATTACTTCAACATGGCATATTATTTCCAGTCTTCTACAAACCTTTACAAGGGGGCTGAGATTTACCTTACTACAGAAATATATAGATACAGGTATGTAGATATACAGATATCGTGTAATTAAGCTTAACTAATCCAATAGTCTTTTTTGCATTTTCACAACTCAGTTACTGCTGAGGTGTTCAGGTATAGTCCAATAAATAAAATGCATTTTCACCATCGTCTATTGATGTAAAATAAAAGCCATTTCCTCCTGATAGACAAAAAAAAAAAAATTACCTGTAACATTAAGACTACTGTTTTCACCACATTCCACTGTGATTTTCTGCCATCCACAATCACAGTAAATCCTCTAGCTTTACACTTTTCACTGAAACAGAACAAAATTTTAAAATATTAAAACACTAGATTTCATAATTCTAAGAAGGCAAAAGGCTTAATTATATATGGAGTAGAATTCACTTCAGTTTGACCTAATATCATTAAGTAAAATTCTTCAGAGTATTCTTTCAATTTTCTGAAGCAATTTATTCTTCTTTTTTTCAGGAAGTATAAGTCCACAAGCTAATATTCTAAAAGCATGGAAATTTGATGCCTTAAAAAGTGATGCAATCAAGGCAACATTCAAGTAGTCTCACCCATCTCTCAATTTCTTCATGTGTAAACAGGATCATAGTAAGTAGGTAACTAATGATTGCCAAGGGTCTTATGTACTTCCTGTCTCTCCTTCCTACCAGAAATACAAGATTCATAAAGTGATGGTTTTGAAAAGGTAGAGAATAATTACTTTTTTTGTTCTTTCTTTATAACAAGGCTTCACTCTGTAGCCCAGGATGGCATCCAACTGTCTTAGCTCCTGAGTGCTGAGGTTTTAAGCATGCAGCACCACCCGCAGCAGTAAACTACTACTAAAGCACTGGGAGCTAGCTTCTTGGTGCTCTTTTGAGAAAATTCAATGAGACAAGGCAGTACTTGCTATATAAAGAGACTGCAAGCTTAACTGTATCATATCTGATCCACCTCTGTTTTCTCATTGTCATTGACCAGCAAAATGTGATCCTAAGTGTTAGAAAATGTGTTGTTATAACATATTCAACTATTCAAGTAATTTTTAACTAAATCCTAGAAATCTATCCTAGTAAAATACAACTTACATACAGAAAACTCCATCGTGAAGATGAAACTATATAGCTATTATTATTGGTATTATTAGTTCACTTATTAACTTAATTCAAGGATCTTAAGTGGCCTCCCTCCAATGTAGAGGAAGGAACTGCAGCCTGGCTTCACAGAGCAAAGATATGATAATGGAAGCTATCCCCACCCAAAGTTCTCCTAATTCCATACATTATAGGAAAGGCAAGTGTCTGACCTCTTCTGTGATTTAAGTCCAAAGTCTAGGAGTGATGGAAACCACCTTGAGCAAGCTACAAATTTATAAACTGGATTTTCATACTAAAAGTCTGAGTTTGTCTACTAGCCCACAAGGGCTTGCCTGAAGAGCCGGCAGCTGAGGTTTGGGAAAGGAACAACTTCCCAGGCCACTGGTCACAGCAGAGGTCTCAGATGATCTATGATGCTGTGATGTCCCGGACAGCAAGACAATATTACAGCTAAGGGCAGCATGACATGTATACAAAATTTCTATAAAAGCAAAAATTAAGAGAAAAACAAATTTCCCATTAATCAATGATCTGTTCCTGCTAGAATATCTTGTTCCTCTGTTGCTAGTACCCTGCTCGCATCAGTGCTCTCCATCCCACTGTTCCCTGCACTACTCCTTCACCCCTTCAAGAAGCTGTTTAATAAATAGTGGCAAATTCCAGGAGACAGCCAGCACCTTGGCCTGATAAGAGCTTTGACCATCCTTAGCCCCCTTTATGCAGTAAAGATCTTGTCTTGTCTTTTGTTATCCAGATGGTTGGGGGTCTGGTCAGCCTCCAATATAGGAGACTTTACTGGTCCTCCCCAATGCCTTCTAAGAATTCATATGAGTTCCAAAAGGGTTCTTGAGAAGTAATGCATGTCCAGTTCTACTGAGAAAAAGACCACAAGAATAAGGATGATACACTAAAAATCTGAAAAGAAATAGGCTCCTCTCTAGGTAGGGACAGAGGGTGATCTTCCAAAGTAAATAGAGAAGTATTCAAGAAATGAGGTACACTGAAATATATGTCCACAGAAAAACTGCATGTAAATGCTCAGTAGTGTATAATTCACAATAGTTAAAAAGTAGAAACAATCAAAATGGCCATCAACTGATTAACATAGATACAAACAACAAAATATTATTCAGCCACAAGAATGAAGAACTGACATATCACAATATAGATTAACCATAAAAAGATATGCTAAGTAAAAGAAGCCAGACACAAAGGGACCATATTGTATGACTCCACGCATAGAAAATGTCCAAAATCTACAGAGAGGTAAATCTAGAGACAGAAAGCAGATATATGGCTGACAGTGGCCGGTGGAGAAGTGGGAAGTGATTGCTAATGGGTCTGGAGATTGTCCTGGATGATGCAAATTATCTGGAATTAGCATGATAGGTTGTATATTTATCAAAAACCACTGAATTATATCTTATTAAGGGATGAATTATATGCTATATGAATTAAATCTCAACTTTAAAAAATTAAGTAGTCTTTTTTGGATCTGCATTACAAAATAAAGGATCCACTAAGTATTTTTCGAGGAAGAAAAAGTGGATGCAATACAATGTTCACTTCCAGATTAGCAACAGTGCATGAAAATTTTCCTTTGTGAAGGAAGTAAGCCTCACACCAAATTACTAGCTGTGGGCTCAGGTACGGAGAAAATCCCTGAAGTATTCACCAGCAAGATCACTATGAGCCCCAAAAAGATCAGCTGAGACAGGTGATGTGAGTGGTCTCTGAACAAGTGGCAACAACTCAGGGACTCTCCTAGTACATTATGGGAGTCTGCAGGAAGGGGAACCTTGATGCAGAGCTGTCCAGTGGAGGGCCTTTCCAGAAAGAGAGTGCCATTCCCACAAGTGGTACATTCTTATCAGCATCTACATCTCTGAGATGCAGATTTCATATCCACTTTGTTAAATAAATTTTACAAAACTACACATTTATATTTCAATGCACACTATAAATTAATCTGTGCATTACAACTAAGAAAGTAATGAAGCTTACAAATACCATCTGTAATGATCCCAAAGTAATAAAATACCACATTTATCTTTGTGAGTACTTAAAAACACCCTTAATCATAATTTTCTCACATTTTACTAAGAAAATAAAAATACATACAACTCAAAGATAAAAAGAACATTTGGTCTTTCATATGCATGAAAGGAAATAGTATTTTTTAACTTTATTCCTACACATGGAACAGTGGTTTAAACTGCTTTTAAAAACAACTTATTTAACTTGGAAGCATGTTTGCCTTTATTCCTTTACAAAAGGCATGCTGGAAGACCTAGAGTGCTGTTATTAACAAATCCTCATACTGCTGCTAATGTTTGCAACTATTTTTAAAGCAGTACAGAAAAAAAGTCTAGCATCCTGCCTCCTGTGCCTACTCCATTGGAGCCTTTCAAAGGTAATGTGACAGGGCTGGGGATTTAACTCAGTGATTCCACTGCCTGCCTCACAAGCACAAGGTCCTGAGTTTGATACCCAGTACCAAACAAAAACAAACAAAACAAAACAAAGGCAATATGGCTGAGTCAAGACAGCTCTGTAACAGTGAGGCTCCTTAATAAGCTCACTTACTGGTGACACAGGGATTATGGAGGGGTCTCCTAGGGTCACAGTAAGAATCCTGCTGCTCTGCATGTATTTCTTTGATTAAAACTAAGGGCCCCTTCTGTTCCATCCACAGAGTTCTGCTCGGTAGCTTCTAGTGCAGTACTTTAAATTCAGATGGTTCTGAAATGTGAGATGATACTTATCACGTCACTCCTGAGTTAGAACACAATGGCTTTCCTTTTCATTCAGAACTAAAGCCTGCATCACAGCCTACCTGGTTGTCTGTGACTGACCCCAGCCTCTCCTTGTGACTACCTCCCAGCCTTCTCTCAAACTGCTAGAATCACACTGACCTCCTCACTGTTTCTGCAGCATGCCAAACTTGCTCCTGCCTCAGGGCCTTCACACTTAACACCTCTCTCTCTCTCAAACACTTTTTCATCAGGTATATGTAGGATCTCCCCCACACTTCAGTTATAGTGGGTAAAATGCTACTTTATCATTTGGTAAACTATCACCACCACCCTCCCACTCCACCTCTCTCCTGATTCTGCATGTTTTGGTTTCATTAACTCGGGAATGTGCCACATACTTGTGATATTTTCTGACCATCAGGGTGTTCCGGTCACCCTGAATCTGAATCTGCCTTGCTTCCCTCTTGCTCAGTACCTAGAACACTAGAAGCTCCTGTAGGTAAGCTCCTTGTAGGCACTCACATATTTACCGAGTGACTGAAATCATCACCTTCGTGTTTATGTGATTTAGGGCAAGTCATTAACCACTTACAGTCCAATTATTTAAGAATAAGATAACCAAAAAATTGCATTTTTCCATTAATTTTATAAGACAATATAACAGGAAATATAAAAATGACAATTTTATCAAATTTATTCAGTAATTTTTCTGTATATCGTATATATCTAAAATGTTAATACATAACACAATGTTATAATCTGAACAGCAGTATCTAGTCTCTTTCCTGAATTTTTTGCATTATTGTCATTCTTTGAACAACACACTTTACACTATCACGTTGGCCTTTCCTTTTTTTCTGTGTGTGGTGTAATTTCAAAAAAATGTCTACCCACTAAATTAATGGTGAAGATGTCAATGATGGACTTCCTACTTGACATCTGGCTATCCTCTTTTTTCCAATTATTTGGTCTATTAGACCTAGTCTAAACTGTAAATGACTTTTCTGAACACCCTTATTTTGAATAGAGTTCCATATTGTTTGGGCCAGAAGGTGAATAAATATTATATAATATTTTCCCCTCACTTTTTGATTTCAGGGATAGCTTATTAGATGTTGGTTGACTCTGTCAATACCACCCATAGAATTATTATCATCAATGATCATTATTGGAAATTATTTAGGTTTGTTTCTTCTTTTGAATTCCATCATTTCTGTATTATGAGTAGTTGACAATAAGGAACTGTCTTTTTTTGTCTTTCAGTTTCACAACAGATTTTGTTTTTCTTTTTTTAGTTCTTTTGCAGATCTTTTGGTGCTTGCTTCCTATTCAGTCTCAGTGTTCTAAATATATTCATTTTGTATTATAAAAGAGTATCGCTGAGTTCTGAAGAAGTATAAAATTTACATCTAATATACTTATGATAAGAGTTTTTATAGATTGTAGCACAAAATTATAGGTTATTTTTCACAAAATAAACACAAATTAGTAAAATAACTAGAACTTACTAATTTCACTAGAAACAAATACCTACCAAAGGTGAATACAGCATTCTAAATAAAAAGCATGCAAAAAAACATTCAATATGAAACAAATAAACAGACATATGAGTGTATCTCATGCAAACAAAAATCAACTGGTTGAAATGACATCTGCTCAAGCAACACCAGGCATAATTAGTCCATAAATGATGTGCTGCCCAAGTGACACTCGCGGTGAACTGCCAAGTGGCTAAGCCTCTTCCTTCTGATGTTTCTGCTATAACAGAAACAAGTTTTTTCTACATTTACAAAAAACTGATTTAAATGTAGGTCTCTAATCCTACTGAGGCATTTTTCAATAGTAATTCTGACTACGAGTAACTTTTTCATATCACTGGAATATCAGGGCCAGAACTACACTGTACATACACTGTATGAAGAACAAAAAGTTCTTGGATTGGTATTAGGACTGATAGAGTCTAGACTCAGCTTTACTACTAACAGTGTGGTCACAGACCAGTAACGGCAAACATTTCAGAGATGATACAAACAGCCTGCTGTGGCATGTGTGCCATAGGCTTGCCACCAGTGTCCTAGACAAATAACCCTAAACCCTGAGTTATAAAAATCAGAAAGTATAAAAATTATAAAATCAAAAAGTTGTATAAAATCAGAAATTTGGTTCAGATGATTTCCAAGTTCCCTGCACCATTTAACCTTCCATGAATCCATCTATAAATACTATTTTCATTATTTGTTAGCTATTAAGTGGGCCTACTTTCTGCTACCTAAAAAATAATTGGTTAACTAACAGTAAGCAATACAAATTAGCAATCAGCAGCTCAAAGGATTAGTGAGTGAGATTATTCAAAATTAATACTGCCTCTGGGATCCAGGAGGAAGAGAAGAAGGAAGAGAAGGGACCAGAAGAGAGAGGAAAGGAGAAAAGAAAAATTTCACTTTAAGTGTTTTATATCCCCAATACTAAAAATAATCACCAAAATAATCATTAAATTATAGCTCAATATTGAAAGTAAATGTGATTAAAATCAGTTTTTCTCAAATATAGTTTTGACCTTTTGCTCTGAAAAGTGATTTAAAATAAAATAAACTATTATATCAATAAAATGCAGATACAGGAAGACAAAAAAAGAACTGACAGCTCTAGCTAAAATGTTTTTAAAATTCATTCTAGAGCTTTGCAGCATTACGTGACAGACTAGCTCTTCTTTGTACTGCTACCTTTTAATACACATACCCACAAATCCACCCTCGTTCTCATGATTTATTGCAGTGTTTTGCAAATCTGGCTGCATGTTACAATTATATGAGAAGCTTAAAGGATTAAAGAAAATTGTGCTGACCAGATCTGGATCTGAATCTCCAGAAGTAGATCCCCTAGGAATTAGAATTTGAAAAATAAAACAACAGAAACTCCAGATGATTCTAACATGTAGTTATAATTTGGCCCTGCAAATACCAATTATGGGAGAGGATGTTGGGCAAGGTTTTTATTGTTCTTGTTAATGTGATAGGTAGACGAGTAAACAGGAAGGTTTTTGGGGGGGTTTTTTTGCTTCACTAAAGAACTATTAAAATGAGACATTCAAGAACCTATGAATTAAAATATAAATAAACTTTTTTGTATTTTTAAAATAAAAATATTTGAAACCTAAGCTTTTATTCAATTAGAACCTATACATGTATTTATATCAATAGAGTGAAACAGTGATCTAAAAAAATTTGCTTCTCTAATTTTTCTTAAATTCCATGGCATATAGGGACATTCCTGAAAAGTTGACAGTACTCTCATTTTACAAATCTGTATATCATAAGCATATAATAAACATTTTATCTGGTGTGTTGTCATAAATTATTAATTCTAGCATTTTTAATTATAACTTCATAGCTAATAAAAGCAGGTAAGATAGCTAAGTATATTTTAACAATATCAAGAATAACTAAGCCACTGAAAACATTGGTATTTAAGAAAAGACAATGTTAGAGTCACCTTGGAATGCTGAGCAGGTAGTCCAAAGTGACACTCAATTCATCCATATTTGTTTGTTCGAGGCATAATGGAATTGTCAGAATGAGGCCACTTCGTCTGTCTTTTCCTCCTATAAAAAAAAAGTTTAACATAAATATTAAGAAACCATGTAAAACCAGGGATTTAGCTCAGTGGTTCCACCCACCCTGCCTCCCAAGCACAAAGTCCCAAGTTTGATTCCTGGTACCAAAACAAACAAAGATACCATGTGAATAATATATACTTGAATACAAAGTTATTAAAACAATGACTTTAAGACATAATCTGAAAAAATATATAATGGTTAGTTATTATTATTATTATTATTTTTTTTTTGGTACCAGGGATCAAACTCGGGCCCTTGAGTTTACAAAGCAGGCGCTGGAACCACTGAGCCAAATCCCTGGCCCTCTAATGGTTAGTTATTTATAAATGTTTATAATACAGCAAAATTATAAACATTTAGAAAAAGTTATCTTTGGATCACTCAATAGAGCAGTTATCCTCATAATTTTCTTCCATTAGCCTGCTTCTTAATGTAATCAATTCATCAAACACCTGTTATGTGTCTACCACAATAAGCATTTAATTAAAATAAATTTCCACCTAGCAAGAAAAGCTTTAAGCCATAAGAAATAACAGTATAAACATAATAATGTATATAAAACACACTGAAGTATTATAAAAGGGGATTTAGAAAATGGAAAAAATGATAAAAGCTGGGAAAATTATGAGGTTTCACAGAAAACACTTAAAACAGTAAAACTTGTAAAGCAATTCAAAGACGATTCTATGAAGAAGAATTATCTGAGTTCATTCACAAAAGTCATAAAGGTATACACTTTCGTAAGGCAATAAAAAGAAAGTCTTGCCCAGAGTAGAAGAACCCTAGGGACTTGAAATGAAGCCTGAAAGCCTGAACTTGAACACATTTCCATTTCATGTATGTTCCAGGCCCCCTCAGTTTGTCCTAAATGTTAAAAAGTACCTTTTAAACACTATTCACTCATTACTTTTTTTGAAAGTTCCTACATGCCTGACTTTCACACTGAAACCATTCTTCCCACCCAACTGACATTTACAGCAGTTTTAGAAGTTTAAAAAACAGCAAATTCTGAAGAAAACAATTTCATATCATCTCTAGAAATCTATCACTAAAAACTGAAAGGTGTTAAGTGGAAAAGACTCACCGAAATGAAGGCAACTCATGACATATTAACCACAAATGATCTATCCTTCATTAGGTTAGCCACACAAATTACTGATACTCAACTATGTTGTTTAACATCAATAAATGGTAATCTCAAGAGGGCTCAACTAATATTAATGCCAACCAATAAGAGAAATTTTTAAAAACACATTAAATAAAAAAGCAACACTACTAGAACTCTATTTCTTACTTTGTCCTTTATAATCTATACTAGGTAAACATTCCAATTTATAAAAACATTGAAGATACTTTGAAGGCACATTTGTCAAGATAGTTATGACTAGACCTAAAGAGAATGAAAAAGAAAAAGTAAGATAATATAGTCCAGAAGAACCCTAAATTGGAAGGGCCACCGTGCCTATTTCAAGGTATGTGCAGATTTACTCAATAATCTGAATTCCATAAAATGGAGTTCATGTACCACACCATTACTTTCACCTTAGCGAGCATCTCACAGCCAATACAGACTTCTTGTAAATTCAAGCCTACACCGTTAACCAATTTCAAACAGTGAAAACAGTGCAATTGACACTTCCTAACTCCACCAATGCACTGCAACTTTCTCACAGGAAGATCAACACACAAGCTAAGGGACAGGATAGCACAAAAATGAATCACTGCGGATTTCAGAAACAATAATTTAGGTGCTAGTCAATTACTAGTAATTAGTTTTTATATAAGAAGAGAAATCATGACATCTACAGATGCAGATATTACTTTAATCAAGTTACCAGACCAGAATAAAAAAATGGCCTTGCAGGTACCAGCAGTGTTAGTTTACACAGATATCCATTCTGATTAAAAGAAATAACCTTTAAAACCCTCTCAGAAAAATAGTGATTTCTGTCAAACTCATCAGAGAAATTTAAACAAGCTTATGCACCAAACACTTTCAGTTTGAAAAAAACATACCTGAAAGGAAGGCCAGTTTTTTCTTCAGAATGGGTAATATTACTGAGGCGTCCATTTCACCCAGTCAATGTCCTCACTTCTGCAAAGAGAAAAAGTCAAGTGTCAACTACAAGGTAGCAAATATTCTGTGAAATATGTATTTATGATGGTTTATCCAGGGTCTCTCAACCTCAGAGCTAAGGACATTTTGAGCCAGGTAATTTTTGTAGGGAGTGGTCCTGTGTGCTGTAGATCATGTAAGCAGCATCTGCCCAGCAAGTGCCAAGAGCACTTTCCCCTCAGCCTTTTGACAGCCAAAATGTCTCCAGTCACTGCCAACTGTCTGGAAGGCAAGATCAAAGCTGGATGAAAATCACTGGCTTAACTGTTTTTCAGAGTAATGCTCCTGCACTAGAATATTGCCTAGCACACAGCTCTAACTCAACCAATTATTTGTTGAATGAATCAATTAATCAGGCACACAGCCAATTTTCTATTGCTTTCCTTATTAACTACACAGCTCAATCTCAGGTATGATTCCTTCTGCTCTGGTATGTAATAGAATTCTCTGATTTCTCATACTTTTGCTCCTCCATAACACACAGTAACATTTTATCCTCAAAGATACTATATGCTGCTTTAGTTTCCCATCCCTTATTAACTGTCCCCCCTCTCTTCACGTTTTAGTTTTACATTCTTCAGGGAAAAATCTGATTAACTCAGTTCATTGTTTTGAGGCAAGCCAGAATTTCCTGTTCTTGCTTATTCCAGGGTCCTCTCAGATGAAGACGGGTTACAGCTAAATACAAAAGGGGAGTTGCTAACACAGCAGGAGTTAATGAGCTTCCCTTAAATGGGAGTCTGGCATGGCTGGCATTCAGACTTGACCGGCCTAGTACACTTCCAAAACAAGATTTGAGGAGAATAGGACCTTTAAAACAAAACAAGCTGGGTGAGGTGATACACACGTGTAATCCCACCTACTCAACAGCCTGAGGCAGGAAAACTGCAAGTTTGACACCAGCCTGAGCAATTCAATAAAACCCTGTCTTAAAATAAAATAAATAAAATAAGGAAGGGATGTAGCTCCCTGCTCCTTCAATTCAATCCCCAGTACCAAAAACAGAAAAAGAGAACCAAAGGTTCAATTATATTGTCCCCTTCCACTTAGCTTTGTGTCTGAGAGGATTTCCTCTCACATTTCATCCCTTCCTCTTTGCTGCATCTCACACCCACCAACCATCACAACACAGGGCAGGACCTGGAAGTACACTGTGAAATTTTACTATATTTAGTGAAAATACACTCTCTTAAAGCTTTCCAGCAGAGCAGAAAATAAAACTCTTTGCACAAATGTGTATTACTTCTCCAATAAAGACCTGCTAGGAACTTACCCATTTCAGGCACCATGCCACCTGCTGGAGCCAAATATGTCACAGCCCTGCCTTGCCAATAATGGGGTCTCCTAAAAAAATTGCAGATTAAAGAAAAAGATGTAGTCTTAATATTGTCAAACAATGGCTAACTAGGCAAGACTAATTAAACCAGTATACTGTTTTACAGCTTTTGTACGGTACATACAATTAAAAAAAAAAAAAAACCCTACTATTTATACTTGTCTACAAAAAAAAAAAAACTTTGTAAACTAAGTGATATATTCTTTTCAAGTTGTATTCCTTAGATATTTGTAACTTTATTCAGTTTTGTTCTATACTAACCAAGCCTACAAACTAGTAGCAAAAAGGGAAAAGTTCACATTTTGTATCTTTTATCTAAAACCAACAGCACTTCATGTTGCCAGATTAATATTTTGACTTGATGACTTATTATCCAGCTATACAAAAACCCCAAAAGCCTGGATTCATGTCTTTAGAGCCCTTCTCCTGTGACCAGCTTATTGGGGACTTGATTTGAAGCCTGGTAATGATGATAATAACGAGTATGATAACTAACACTGTTCACTACAAACTATATACTGCTCTAAATGATGTTTTTGAATTGACTTACTTAATCTTCACAATATCCCTAAGTACTATTATTACTGCTGTTTCACAGCAGAGTGAAATGGAGCTCAGAGAAGTTATATGTTGCCCTATTCATATAACTAAGTGCTGAAGTTACTGACATGCAGCCAATCTGGTTCCAGCAAGTGAGCTTTCATATCACACTACCTGCTTATTCATTAAACTGCTCTGAAATATCAGGCAATTAAACAAGATGAAACTCTAAACTACATGCAAAATGAAAATAACTACACTACTACGATGTAAAACAAAAAACGCATATTTGTTCTCTGTCCCTGGTTCCTGGACGGAATCCCTAAAGCCCTTGGAATATCCTGAGGGGCGGGAATCTACCTTGTTGTTCCTAATAAGCCCTTTCCTATCATACCTGAGTTTATGTTAATAGAGTGACTTAGGGTGGGGCCTCTGCAAAGCTTAGGAGGAGGCTGCTGGCTGCCAGAAGACAAACTCTGACTGCAAATTTCAAACTTTCAGCCTCACTCTCCCAAACTCTGGGGCTGGAGAGCCAAATCGACAAGGATCAACGATGTGACGGATCATATCTGCATGACAAGGCCTCTATAAAAAGTCTTCATCAAGGAGTTCAGAGAGTTTCCAGGTTGGGGACCAGTGCAGGTGCCTGGAGAGTGAACATGGTCTCTGCACCTCCTCAATACCCTGCCCATGTGTCCCTCCTATTTGGCTGCTCCTGCACTAGGTCCTCCACAGTAAGTAAATGGTCTTCCCAGTAAGTGAGCCCCTCCAATAAATGACCAAACCTGAGGGCTGAGGTCGTCATAGAGTCTGATTCGTAGCTGAGTCAGACAGAAGTGTGGTAACTGTGGGCCGAAGTAAGTCTTCGAAGATGACACCCTTAAACTTTTGACACTAGTGCTGGTGCTCACTGCCAGAACTGAACTGGGCTGTAAGACAGCCAGTCGGTGTTCAGAGATTTGGAGAATTGATTGGTGGGAGGAAACGCCCTACATATTTACTGTCAGAGGTTATGTCAGTAAGAAGCTGATAATCTACATAGCAATGCCATGCTCTTGAGTTGTGCTAAGGCACCAGCACTGCAGCCCACTAATCCTTTTATAACATCAGTGCCAGTGTCAGCACAGTAAGAAGGGTAAATAATACCTAAGTACTACGATTAAAAAATACTTCTGACCTCACAGCAGCCCTGAAAGTAAGAAACAAGAGAAGCGCTGATCTAGGCAGTCAATAGGATGCTGACAAAAAAAATATTTCAACCTCAAGGACTTAATTACAGAACAAAACTAATTTCCTAGCCAGACTTTTCATATCTGGTTATCACCACAAAATCTGAAATGCTTTTATTTCCTCCCTATATTTTGGCCTATGTCCCCAGCCTTTTCATCAAGTCTGTAAGTTCGGTAAACCCTTCCGCTTCAGTTAGCTAGAGCAGGTTTCTTTTAAGTCAATGGCGAAATTTAACTGTCTGGAAATCAAAACTATAATTCAGAGCTTAGTTCACGAAATCTCTGATCATTTCATGTTTTTAAAAAGTCTGCTGCCATTTATTCTAAATTAAAATGTCTATCAATACTTTGAGATTTTTAACCCTTACCATGTAAAACCCAATTAATAGCACCCAGAAGACGAGAACATCTGGAATCCCCAGGATCCCACAAGACACACGAAACAAAAGCTGCAGCTGGCTCCTGGAGCAAAACCTATGCTACTACAGCTTTGCAAGTCAGGTGACTAGTTTTATGTCAGTCGATGCTAAGGCTTAATTTTTCACCTTTGAGTTCTCTCTATACTCAAAAGGGAGGAGGGAGGAGGCTTCAGTGTCTTGGTCCAGATTCATTTTGGCAAATTAAAATTCTAACAACAACAAAAGAAAATACTAACAACCTCCATCCTATCATGCCTCCTTAGATGTGTACTTTACTCAGCTCTCCTTCACTGTACACAAACAAAATACTATATTGCTGTTGTTTTAATCCAGCAGCGAGCTTGTTTTAGAACATATTTAGAGTGATAAAGGAGTTTAATGAAATACATAGATTTGAGGGCAGGGGATTTAGCTCAGTGGTTCCACTACCCGCCTCACAAGCTCAAGGTCCAAGTTTGATCCCAAGTACTAACCCCCCTACACACAATATTTATATATAGGTTTGAGTACAGTACGTGAGTCAAGATCAAATGAACTGACAGATAAAATATGAGCCAGTCAAGAGACAAATACAATACTTTTTACATCTTCCCCCTCTTCTGGAGTCTCCTTTGACTCAAGCTTTCTCAGTTGACATTAAAGAGATAAGTAATGAACAATGATTGCTGTACCAGTAGTTTAAATGTTTCTCACAAGTTATTTTAGACTTTGAAGTGTTTAGCATGGGCATTTTTTTAAAAAAGAGCTAGGTGTGATGGTGCACACCTGTAATACCATTTACTCAGGAGGCTGAGGTATAAGAAGCTCAAGTTTGAGGCCAACCTGGGAAACTTAGCAAGACCCTGTCTCAAAATAAAAACGGCTAGAGATGTATGTGGCTCAGTGGTAGGACACTTGCTTAGCATGCCTGAGGTCCCTGGGTTAAATCTACAGCAATGCAGACAAACAAAAACTTTAAAACCACAACTAACCACTATCATCTCCATGATGCAACATCAAAACATAGGTGGCAGGTCATGTCTTCTCCAATGGGATAAATACAAATTATTTTTTCACAAGGCTTATTCAACCTAAATATATCTGAGTGGACTATACTCTTAAACAAGGAACAAAGCCAATAAGTGGTATTTTAATTTATATGAAATAATAAGAAGTGGTAAACCAACATTTTTTTAAAGAATTTGCTCCAGGCCTGATGGTGCACACCTATAATCCCAGAATTCAGTAGGCCAAAGCAAGAGAGTCACTATTACTTCAAGGTCAGCCTGGGATACACAGTGAGTTCAAGACCATCCTGAACTATATAGTGAAAGCTGTCTTTTTTTTTTAATCACTAAGTAAGCGGGCTAAAAAATGTAAGACTTAAGAAATGAACGGCATACTTAACAGCTTACAGCTTAGCATGCTTACATACTATTGTACTTTTCTTATTTCATATATGGTCATTTAAAAGAGTACCCATTTTATGGATACATATTGAAGATATACTCCTAAGTGAAATAAATAAGTCCCACATGTGTAAATACCAAATAGTTTCCCTGGTGTGAATATTCTGCAACAATGCATAAGATTCTAATAAGATTACTGACCTTTAGAAATGGGAGGAAAGGAGCTAAAGGTGTAGGAAAGGTGTGATACGTAGGGGAAGAACAAAAAGGGAAAAGAAAAAAATGTGAGAGAATGAAAAGATGAAAATAAAGTGTTTGTAGATGGGGAGGGGAGGAGGGGGTGAAGGGAGGGCAGAGGTAAGGGGAAAAAAATGAGAATCAAGACTTGCCATGTAAAGGTACATGATCCCAACAATGAATGTAACTGTACTGTATCCCTAAATGTACCAATAAACTCAAAAAAAAAAAAAAAAAAAAAGAGTACCCATTTTAAGTTGCAGTTTACTAAATATAAGAGATCAGGGACCGGGGATTTAGCTCAGTGGTTCGGTGGCCTGCCTTGCAAGCTCAAGGACCTGCGTTCATTCGCCGGTACCAAAAAAACCACCCCCCAAAAAAAATAAATATAAGAGATCGAAAGCCATTATAGCAGATATATCTTGGAGACTGGTGAATATAATGGACAATACAACTATGACTGCATGCTACCATGCACCAAAGGCAATAAGCATTTTATTTTGGTTAACAGCTTGTTTAATTATTATCATTTCTACATGCAAAATAAGATCTACCTAAAACAGATACCTTCTAAAGTTAGAGATGATGAATCCTGAGAACTAGAAATGAAGGGAGACTAGATTTCCACTAATGCATGTGACCCTCTTTTAGTCTCTCTTTCCCATGATCTTAATTAATGAAAGGGAAATAAGGTGGTACCTTGTCCCAAAAAGCCAAGTCTTTTTTACCTTTATATTTTTCACTCACTCAAGAAATATGTATTGAGCACCTGTAAGAGCTGAGGGTACAGCTCAGTGGTAAAGTGCTTGCCTGGCATGCATGAGGCCCTGCGTTCAATGCCCAGAACATCAAGGGAAAAAGAAAGAAAAAGGACCTATTAGGACAAGGCATGGCTGGTGCTGGACATACACGGCATTCAAAAATACCCAATGACTTAATGGACAGATAAACATAAAACAGGAAAGCAAAAACATATAACCTAGGAATATTAACATCACAACCATCTGAATGCGTGGTTTTTCCTCAAAGCTGTCTTTTTACTGGGAGAGAGCCTCTCAAAGATTCAGCAGCCATGGAAGATGCTGGATGCTGAAGAAATGCCCATTCAGGACAAGACCTGGTAGATATCAATGAGTGCTGTGGACAGAAAGCCATTAGGGGGCAGTAGAGGATGTGCCAAGCAGCAGGAAAAGAC